ATCTGTAAGTCCAATATTTGCTAAAGTGTGGGCCTAATTAATTTTTCTTTTTGGATTAACAAGCTTATTAATTATGTTTACAACAGTAAGGGCTAGCACTTAATCCAGGGGAAGAATATCCAGGTATCTATATATATCTAGATATAATATAGAAAAGATTAATGTGCAAATCCCCACAATTTATTACTTTTACCTTATTTTTAATTAAGTTTTTGAAGTTTTCTTTTCTTCTACTTTTTATTGGTCCTTATAGTTTTCTCAATCATCGACACTGGTTGTTGTGCTTGTAAAAAGTTCTAACTAGTCATATTATTCATGAGTATAATACAACACATCTTTTAGATTCTAAATAATGCGAGGACCTACACAAGTCATGTTTATTCGGTTGTTTACAATGAAGTTGCATATAATTACCAAAAAATCCCAATAACAACAGAGTAGTCTGCATTGCTTGGAATAAGGAATGACAACTTATTCTTATTAGGACTTACTAATAATTATTTTTTTCTTTGGGGTCTAATTGTAATTTCCCAAGCAATAAAATGAAGAGTTAATATAATTTTTTATTCTTAAAATTTTAGCCCATTTTGGTTTTGGTTCCTCAAGTTTCAAAAGCCGTGGTTTTAGTCCCTAGAATTTAGTCTGTCTTAAAACGATGCAATGGTGTTAAAATCTGTTGAAATGTGATAATTAATGATGTTAAAAGTAGTGATATGAACTCACCAGATAACACTTAAGTGGATCTTATATGCTGGATCTTATATCAATAACAAAGTGCAACTCAGTCAAAAGCTCCTAAAATTGAATAGTGAGGAAGAAAAAATAAGAGGCTAAAGATCTAAGTTTTGAGAATCTGTTCTTTTTTTTCCCCTTCTATTATCAAAACAAGATATGACTAGATACCATCTGGTGAGTCTACATCACCATTTTGACATTATTTATGATACTTCAGTAGAATTTAACATTGTTACATTTTCAGAGACTAACATTTTAAGACAAACTAAATTTCTGAAACTAAAAACCATGAGTTTGAAATTTGAGAGACTAGAATCAAAATAGACCTAAATTTAAGGATAAAAAATTATATTGACTCTAAATGAAATGGGAGAATTGAAAGAGCGTAGTTGGTTGCTTTGTCTATTGTGCTCTGAGTAGAAAAGATAGCAATGGTTGGTGTCAACAGTTTATTGGTGATGGGCCAGACTACTTATCGGGCAAAGAAAAGAAAAATCAAACTGGACTGGACCAGTCAGTTCAATTAGAAACCGGTCATACGGCCTATGCTTCAGTCTAGTTTGAGTCCTAAACCAGTTAAGGATTAAGGGTGTGTTTGGATGAAACCAAACCGTGGTTTGGAAAAGTGATTCTGGAGAATAGATTTTGGGGAAAATAGATTCTGTGGAGAATAGATTTTGTAAAAAAGTGATTCTGAGAAGTGAGAGTGTTTGGATAGTTGTTATCAGAAGCACTTTTTATATATACAAATTACTAAAAAAAGACATAAGTTAATATGATAATTACAGAAAAAATAGATTTTATGATATATTTTAATTTGAATGAATAAAATTGTTAATAATATGTTTTTTACCAACATAATTAATAATACATAAGATAATATAATTAATAAATAATTAATGTGTATATATATTTATAAAATATAAGATTAAATATATTTATAAAAAAATATGTTTATAAAAAAAATAACAAGATACATATCATATAGGTCCTCACACTCTCCCTTTTTTCTCCAAAAGCAAAAAAATTTTGCTTTTTCCAAAACCATGGTTTTGGAGTCAAAACCATGGTTTTGACCCAAAACCATGGTTTTGGTTTTTGGAGGGGGTGTTTGGGTAGATTATTTCCCAAACCATGGTTTGGATCCCCAAACCATGGTTTGGGGTGTAACCCAAACACACCCTAAACCTTATTGTGAAAGAGAACTGAAAAATCGTGATAAAAGATGAAGTGGAGAAGTGTTTAAGAATAAAGATTATTTTGGGAGAGTGAAGGCTCAAGATTTGCTGTTGAAGTTGTGAGAAAAAGAGACCGGAAAAAAATAGAGACAGCACCGGCAAGAACTTCAAATTGAAGCTAAGAAGAGCATGAAAAGATGGAGTTAACGTGTTTCCTTGCTCTGACATAACGTGTTTCGGTACTTCATTTTTTCCCCCTGGTTATTCAAAGCTTGCTTAGTGCGATGACTTATGGAAATAAAAAATTATTTATATTATTATATTCTCTGAGTAGCGCAGCACTCTATCTATAAGTTGCTTATATTATATGTAAATATACTAGAAGAGGAGAAAAGGACTCATATTATTATTTTTAAAAATTATTTTTGTTAAAAAAAAATATTTCAGCTGTATAAGGATGGATATTCCCAACATTGTATATTGTTATTGTTATAATTAAACCACTGTTGATTTGTTTGTATTTATTTTATATTTTTATATTAGTGATAATTAATGTAGTTGTATTTTGTTAATTAAATTATATTATTTTAATATGACCGATCTTATCCTGAGTTGATCCTAATCTAACCCACTAACACTTAAACTAATAACTTTATCAGTTTAGTGTCCGATCTGATTTTTTGAACCTTGATTGGATTGTCCTATGAGAGCAACGGAGTTAAATTTTGGGCCTTCATAAATTTAGAGTCCAATTGTTTAAATTGGTTCAAGTGGGCTCGGTAGATGAATAAGACACTAGATTTATGGGCTTGGCCTTGATGACTTCGTCAGTACCAAAGGCAAGCCTCCGCCTTTGGTACCCAAACTGAGCTCAAAGACATGAGGTTGACTCTGACTGAGATGCAACTCTGAGGAGAACAAGAACCTTGCTATACCTTTGACGACAAATTATTTGCTAATCGTAGATGACCAATCATCAATTGATGATTTTACAAAGCAAGATAGAAGGAGAATGTCAACTTCAAGGATTTCCCGTTATTTCAATAGGTTTTCTTTTAGCTGTGCGCGCTTTTTTGATACGCGCGCGCGTACACATATATATTTTGAATACTCAGATATAAACAAATATGCATGGAGGTTAACAATCTCCTTCCATCAAAATGAATAAATGAAAGGAAGAGTTTAATTAATGAGTTAAATTCAAATTTTGCTCCAAAAATTTTCTTTTACCAAATTACCTGTACGTGTTCTTTCAAGTCTCAAAATAAATATTTAATTTAATTAATTTCTTAATCATTAATTAAGCAAACCCCAATTTTCATTGCAAATTCTACGTTGTTATGTAAGATTGACGCGTACATCTCTACCTCATTAGTAAAATTATCTTTGATGTGACTTAGGGTCTATTTGGATTGACAGTGAAAAAACCAGCTTATTTCTAATCTGACTTTTAGAAAAATAAAATTGGGTAAAAGTTAAATTAGATAAAATGAATTGTGTTTGGATTGGAGTTTTAAAAAGTTAGTTTGTAAAAATGATATTGGTAAAAGATTGTTTGGGTTATAATTAAGTAAAAGTAAGTTTGTTTAAGTAAAACAAATGGGACCCACATTTTGTCTCTCTCTCATCACTTTTCCAACTCTATAAGCTGCAGTTTTTAGTTTTTGGTTTACGTATGTGATTTTGGCACAAGTTTTTAATTTTTTAAGCTCTGCGAAATACACTTAAACATATTAAAAGCTAAAAGCTACTTAAAAGTTACTTAAAAGCCACCCAAACATGGCCCCAAACAAGCATTTAATTCAAGTTCTACAATAAACCATACTCTTCCAAGCATCAATTTAGTACATCCAACAATCTCGTTTCTATCAACATATCCCTTCCTTTAGCAACTTGATACATTGTTGTTGCAGTATCATGAACCAGAAGAAAGGATTAAAATAGGTTAAACAAGAGCTTGTTAAGCTCGAACACAAAAATTGTTGGACATTATGTGCCTAATTGGTTGGGCTTTTCAAGGGTGAAAAGTAGCTTATTTTGGGTTGAAACCCGATTGAAAATTTCTATCCTATTTGGAATAAGCTCCTGAAACTAGCGTTCCAATAGAAGCCAACAAATCTAGCTTATTGAAGAGCTTATCTGCTTTTCGACCGACGGAAGTGTCAAGAGAATTCTCTCTCTCTCTCTCACGCGTAGCATCACCGCATTCTTCCCCCACATTTTCCAACCCTCATCCATCAGTTACTTGTTTTTTCTTTTTTTTTTAATTACAAATCAATTATATGATTTTTTTTTAATTTCTCTAACGTTTTAAAATTTAATTCACTCATTAAATTTCACTTCTTTATATTAAATTAATTTTAATTTATTGTATTATGTAAAATTATTTTTTTAATCATGTTTCATTATTTATTAAAACTCATACCTATTTGGTCATTTTACAACCAAACTTATTTTTACTCAATCATATTCCAAACAAGCTTTTACCAATCTCACTTTTACAAACTCCAATCCAAACACAATTCAACTCATTCAATTTAATTTTTACCCAACTTCAGTTTTTCAAAAGTCAAATTAACAATAAACTATTTTTCTAATCGCTAATCCAAACAGACCTTATGTTCATATGACATAACCTTAAACAAAAGATCATGTTATGGCCCAGGTTGGAAGTAAATTCCACCAGAAGCTTGCACATTGCAGTAACTAACCTTCACTCAAATGTTCAGTTTATGCAATAGCTTCGCAAGCTTTAAAGCAAATACACACTTAAGTCCTGCTTTGTTTTCATCATCATTGCTCATGCATGAAACAATCATTCTTCATGGATGAGGAACTATATTGTTTCAATTTGTATTCTTCGCGTTACATTCATTTTACACTCGAAAATCTCAAGATATTTTAAAGAACTTGCCGTTTCGGCCAGGAAATTCCAAAGAACTTGATAGGAAAATACTCTCTTGATAAATGCCACCTCAAAATTTTGGACTCAGATTGCTTACCTCTGTGGCCAGGCCAACAAAACCTACTTAGTCTCTACATAAAATCATCAGCCAAAGTCTAATTGCAGGATTAGGACATCCTCAATAGAAACAGATCTAAAAGTTCAATGACATCAATATAAATATGTCCTACTAAAGAGGCTCCATGTTCACTAGCTAAGATGAAAAAACAGAGATAAATTATTAAGCAATATTCAAAATGTTACAACAACCCTCCTAGGGCTAAGGCAAAATAGATCAGTTTCAGTTCAATACAGCATAAAATTTACTATGTAGCATGCTCTAAATTCAATTGTAAAGTTGCTTGAACCTTCTGCAAGCCTCTAATATATTTTCCCTGTGACCAAAGGCACTAACCCTGACGAAACCTTCCCCACCAGGTCCGAAACCACTGCCAGGTGTTGTAACCACATGAGTCTTCTCAAGAATCTCAGCAAATACATCCCATGAACTTCGCCCAGGGAAATGAACCCACACATATGGAGCATTTTTACCTCCATATGCTTTAAATCCGAGGGTTTCAAATGTCTCTGTTATTATGTTTGTGTTTTCTTTGTAGAATCCAATAACATCTTGCATAGCCTGCATTCCATTTCAGCAAGTCTATCACGCTGCTCATCTCATATGTTTTGAATTTTCACAAAATTTTGTCAAATCACATATCGTTCTGCCCCAAATAACATACTCCCTTCAGTACTAAATGTAGGAGAGATAACTATTTCACAAATATTGAAGAGATTAGTTAAGCTAATTATTTGTAACAAATGTTTGCTTGGTTTCCCTAAAATATCCCCTTTAATCATTACTCCCATGAATGGAAACTCCCTTTAATATGCGCAATTAATATGGATAGTTTGTGGAAAAAATTATAAACTTGGAGACAAAGTTGATCAAGGTCTTATACTTAGGACAAAAGCAAACATTTCAACTAATTCCTACGTTTAGGACTAAAGAGAGTATTATCGAAGGCAAAGAAGTGGGAAACTCAAGGCTCAACTTTGCAACCCACTGTAATAAAAGCAACTAAGCAAGTCATAACAATTCATCATTAACTACAATCAGAGAGGTTGAAAAGGTGGGGTGAATGCGTGCAATATGGGATGATACCAAAATCAGAGAAGTGGAAAAGGCATCAAGTGGATAAAAAGACAGTGACATGCAATAATTGAACTTTTTTTTTCCCAGCGCATAGTCCATTGAACTTGGTCAAATAAAGGTAGCATATGGTATGAACCTAGCTTGCTGGTGAAATGAATTCAAAGACTTCGGCAATAAAACAGTAACTAACCTTAAGGCCTTCTGGTGAGAGGCAAGCCAGACCACCTGTTTGAGAGATATTAGATGCACCATTAAAGCTAGTACACACAATACGGTTGAAATCCCTGGCAACTGGAAAGCCATCTGAAAACAATAACTGCTTTGGAATCACTGTCCATCCCAACCGAACTCCAGTGAAACCAGCATACTTGCTAAATGATGCTGTCTCAATTGCGACCTAAGATTGTTGTGAGGATACAAACATGTTATCAAACAGAAATGCAAAAGGTATTACTTGATGGTCAGAATCAGTTTCCTAAATGAATTCAATTGGCTGCTGCTTATTAAACGTGTACAACTTTAGTGTAGCCCTATGAAGCAGTGACATGAAAAATCTGAGGCATACAGATATTGGACATGCCAAACATTCATGGGAATGAATATTTGAATTCTGCTCTATTGTGCCATAATGCAGGCAGGAACTAATCAGCTAAGCGCAATCAGAAGACATGACAAGGCGCTTATAGCTGAATAAATAAATAAAAGAAAAATTATGTCACAAAACAAAATTATATTTTTGCCCAAAAAATTTAATGGTACGGCCTACAGCAGAACAGTAACACGTAGAACATATGAAGTGGCATATAACATTGAACAAGAGAAGAATCTACCAGATGCATCATTCAATGGAAAACAAATTATAATTTACCATCATTCAAATCGCCCACATATTATGATCATATTAATGGTTAACTAAATGCAAGTCATTAAGATTCATAGTCAAAGGAGCCAAGAGTTGACAAAATGCTAATCGTTAAAAATCAGTTCTGATAGAGGGTGGGTGAGAAGAGACTTCTGGCATACTTCTTTGGCTCCAGGAATTTCAAAGATGGAGCGTGGTTTGTCATCTGAAATGTACATTGCATAAGCAGAATCATAGACAACTATAGACCCATTGTCCTTGGCAAACTGAACTAGTTGAGTTAGTTGCTCCCTTGTTGCTGCGGCACCAGTAGGATTGTTGGGTGAACAGAAAAATATTATGTCTGCCCGCGAAGCTAATGATAAATCAGGAAAGAAACCATTTCTGGCGTACATCTCATGTATTCAATGTTTCCATATTTTTCAGCATCCTTCAGATATTGGCCAGTCTGACCCATAATAACACTGGAGTCCACATAAGCCTGCATAAAAAATTACCATGACATTTATACAGATACAAACCAGGGAACCTGAGCAGAATAAATATATGTTCACTCCATCTTCGCATATTCTTTTTTCAATGTTTTATTTAGCTCACCATCTCTCGTAAGAATATTATGGGCAGATATATAGCCCAAATCAGCCTATTTTCCCTTCTTTCATTATTTATCTGTTTTTTTATACAAGTATTTATCTGTTATTATTTTCACATTTCTTGTTTCTTTTTTCACTTCAGTCTCCCTTGATGCTTGGAGTTAAGCTAGTTAAATGTGCAAATCTGCCCGTATTTGCACTCTTTTGGCCAACGGAATAAAATAGAGAACCATGGTTCAGGTATGCACAAATATAATCTTGAAAGTTTTCCAAAAAGAAAATTCACAATGAAGATGATCAACCACTCAACCAATTAGAATGAATGTAGATAGTTTGTCACACAGGAAGAAAAATCTGACAATGTACACTAAGAGTGCCTTTATTGACGGACAATCATATGTTCAACCATGGAGAAATAGCACATATTCCTCAGAAACCATGAGGGAAGAGCAGTGTGCAGTATATTAAGACAGCATTCATACAAGTTTCACTGCTGACAATTATTGGAATAGTATAAAACGTGTATTCTTGGCAAGAAATCAATCTGCAAGAGCAGTAAAATGTTAAACACTACCAAAGACAGTGTGTTTAGGAATTGAGAGTAAAAAGGAAGGCAAGGAAATGAATCCAAAGAAAATGAAAGAAGGATAAAGGAAGTGAAAGTGGTAGTTAAATGACAGTTTCACTCCCCCGACTTCAGAGAAGCTTCACTCCTCCAATATCCTCCAAATTCAATTAACTTATAATAGAAGCATGGAGCTTTGAAAGATTTTGGAAGGTCGATTAAGTGTGCGTTTGGTTTACAGCTTACCAAAAGTACATTTACCAAACTGACTTGCAAGACAGTAAAAGCAACTCCCACATACGTATTCCAAACTGACTTTTCCATGACTTCTAAGATTTGTGGATGGACTTTCAAAATATAAATTTTTCTATCCAAAAATAGGTTGAGTGGAAGCTAGTTTGCCAAAAGGACTTTTTGGGATACCAAAAGTGGTATCCGAACACCCATAAAATGTTTTCATTGTCCTCTACTCATCATTAATAACTCCCAAAGAAATTGATGGATCATAATGAACAACTGCACATAAAAATTACCGGGTATGATGGGTCTTGTACTGCTATTGTTACATTTGAACCAAACATCATCTGCCACAAAATGAATATGAGAATGCCATTAAGATCTGGAAATAACATGTTGATCATGGAAAACTCCCAATACAAATTTCCCCCTTCTCTTTTCCCCTCCCACAATGAAAGTAAGATGGTAGAGACAGAGTCAGACATCACGTTAAAGAATATTGTCAACCTGGAGGCGAGATATGTCACATTTTGCTCCATCAGAAACAAATATATCACCTTCCTCAATGCCAAGATCGTTGTAAAACGTTGAAGCAATTGCATTTCTTAGTGGCTGCATATATTAGCAATTCCTGTCATTCTTCCAGCATCTTAAATTTCATGGAAAATCAGATAAGAAATAATCTTCAATACTACTATAAATAAAATAGAAGGAACATATTGCTTCCGTGGTCAAATCCTGTCCTTTACTTAATCTTCCTCAGAATAAACATTAAGACTTATTACATGGACTCCAGATTTTTATTTATGACTCCATACAAAGAGACTATTCCCTAGTCAAATCAATTTTTTTATAATAGAAGTTTAAACTAAAAAAGGAAACGAAACATGTCCAGATGACGAGAATATAGAATGATAAAATGAAATTTCGGGCTTTAACTTATGCTAAAAACAACAGCCACCAAAGGCACAAGATGGCACGCAAATCCACTCGGCAAAACTTGGCTAATTCTATATGCATATAGAAATAGAAAGACATCCACTCCACACATACTCTAGAAGGCAGAACCATGGGACCAGAGTGGGAGTACTTGCAGGAAGAGTTGGTGGAGATATGGTTGATGTTGATCAAACAGAAAGCTAACGCAAAAACACGGGAGAAGCAGCTGAAAGTGCATGATTTCCTTATTTTTAGCAATTGTTATTCAAATATCTAGTATCCAAATCCTAACAAGATAATCTATCCAAATCTTAATAAAATATTCTAAATAAAATGCCTTAATTATCCTTATTTTTAGCAATTGTTATTCAAATAACTAAATATCCAAATCCTAACAAGATAATCTATCCAAATCTTGATGAAATATTCTAAATAAAATGACTTAACTATCCTAACGGCTTATTTACAAATTACATATCATAATCTTCTAATTTTTCACTACGTGTCTTGCTCAAGTGATTTTACAATGCATGCCAAATATTGATTCATGGGACGCATTCTGCCAGGAAACAAAAGAAAGATAAGTCTAAGCAAACTATCAGCAAGGGTGAATCATTATTCGCACACTGACTAGAACATGATATGAGAGGATCTCATGATGACAGGATTTATAATTTATATTTATAAGTATAATAATGAACAAACAAAAACTCTTGAAACTGTCAATGCCACATACCTTGTCACCTTGTTCGACTCCATAACCACTATACCCCTCTACAGTAGACAGTGCAAGTGATCTCTGATACAAAAAGTAAGCAATTTCGCACTTACAGCAGGCAAAACACTAGTTTTGTTTAACTGAGTAGAAATATAGCATCATTTATCATGCCACTTTCCAGTCACCAAAATAATAGGAGTGTGCATTCATAAGATATCATTTTCTTACATATTATATGATTTATATGAGGTAAAATTAAGCAAATGCAACCAAGTATAGAAGGGGCATACAGATGACCGCCACAAAAACTGAAGACATAAAAGTGAAACTTGTTCTATAAATCATGTGGTCCATATAAATATCCTTTGAAAACTTGACTATAGGACATCGTCTTTAAGATGGCCATTCTACCTCAGAGGGGCACAGTTAGTCAAACAGTTAACATGGTTCAGCTCATTAAGAGTAAAGCAACACATGATTAATTTTCAGTTTCAGCCACTATCACTTGACTCATTTCATTGGTCATCAATACAATCCTGGATACTATGAGTCATGAAGCTCCCATGCGAGCAGTAATTTCATAAGAATAGAATCACAATTCAGAATATAAAAGATGCATTACGTTCATTTAAGTGAAAGCTTGACCTTTGCCATTGCAGAAGTTATGACTTCAGGAATGGGCTCAGTAGTATCACCAATTCCCAAACTTATCACTTTTGCATCAGGGTACTTCTGCAAGTGTGCAGCCCTTCTTCTAGCAATCTGTTATCCACGATAAAATGGGAAAACAAAGAATGTCAGCGCAAAGGAAAGTATAAAGTAATGCAATATCAAACAATGTAATAAAAACATCCTCAAAAATTTAAGGAGGGGGAACAAAGAAAAATTGTCCATTTTGTCAGCTTACTTGGATTAAACCCAAAAAAAAAAAAAAAAAAGATGGTGCTTGATACCTCTGTTCCCCTCCTTTATAGGTCTTTCTCAAGGCAGACAAGATATAAAAACTTCCAGATTCAAATGTTTCATTTTTAAGCATACATCATAGCATAAATCTCTTTTCCATTATTTTCTGCTCTACAACAATCAACTACAACAACTTTATTCAAATATAACAATTTTTCTAGTTGAGGAATAAGGTGAGAAAAGGCATTCTTTTGAATATCACTTGAATGACAACTTTAACTTTCATAAAGTAAATGAAAGTGGACTCTTTATCACTCAAGATTAAAATAGAACATCAATCAATGCAAATGTTTACATACTCAATCTCCCTCCCTTTTATCTACAAAAACTAGGACTGAACCGCCCGCAGGCTTCAACATATGAACTGCTGATGTGAAACATGTAAACTAAGACATCGATGCCATTTTGTGTACAAGAACGAGGAGCCATTTCCAAAGGGAACATAAAATGGGAGGAAATTAATGCTAAAGAAAGACTATTGATAGTCCAAACTCCATCGGTTGCACTGTGATAATAATCAACCAAATCTAAGGCACTGGAGCAATGGATCAATGAAGAAGAACAAGACTATCAGCAGAAAATGTCAAATGGCATTACAGACCTCTGGAAAGAGATAACCAGCTTGAAGTTTTCCCATGTTTGCATTGCGGGAAACTTTTGTCTTGTAAGCTTCAAAATGAAAAGAAAAGAAGCATATCGTCACACGTGACTTTAAATAACAAAGAAGGAAGAATTCAAGGAATTCTCAGCTTTTCTAGTTTTGGCATGTTCTTTTGCATATGCATTGCTATATAAAGTCCAAAAATCAGCAAATATTCACATTTCAAAGTTTATATAGAATTTTTAAGTACACAAATCAAGTATAGAAGGAAATACTATATAGAATCATGTTTAAAATTCCAGGAACGAGGGTTCAAAATTAACTGGATGGAGTTCATCAATTGGTTGGTGTTATTCAATGGGTTTCAAACTTCATAATTACAGTTTATTAAATAGAGTGAAGATAATCATTCTCAAGTCTTCTTTCAATTAACACCAAAAGACAAATTTGTGCTCAAAGTATACCCTTTCACTCCCCCAAAATGCAGAAGCGGACCTTGCATGAGCTTCTTGCTTCTGTAAACTACTCTTCAAAGATCATATAGTCTACAACAACTCTTCCAATACATATCCTACTAGCTGCCAGAAAAAGCCTATTTGACTACAGAAACCACCTTCAACTTCGGATAGTTTGGGCCAGCATCTTTGTTGATTTGTACAATGTAGAAAGAGCAATTTCAAGATTATTGAATCAAAAAGGTCATTATTGGAAATCTTTGAACTTGAAGCTTTCTTCTGGTCGCTCCATTGCTTCAAATTTCTCAGGAAGAGTATATCCATTGCATTTCATATCCACACTTTTCTAATTTTTCATGTTCTTAAAAATACAAAACAAAACAAAACAAACTGTAGCTAGAATGTCTGAATTGAACTAGATATACATAGTCGTCGTTACAAATTTTTGGTAAACTGTGAGTATGTTCTACTGACTGAAAACCAGAGAACCTTAAGCTCCCTATGATTCGAGCTGGATTGTGCCTTAACTACATAAGCTAGGATTAATAAATTTCGCTCCTCCAGACAAGTCAGAACACTCATTCAGCAGCAACTAACAATGTGTTCATAACCACTAGTATATAGAACGGTTCGGTAACGGTTACTCGGTAATTTACAGACAACTAAGCCATTTGTTAAAAAGGAATCTTCGTTTTGCTGCAAGGAAAAAAGAGCAAAACACAACATGACTCAATCCGCTTTCAAATTCAGTGAGCAATCTATCAGGTCAACGAGAAGGGGAAAAGAAATCTTCACACCGCCTACCTATACCCCAGTATCGCCTAACAACAAAAATCACAACTTTCACTACAAGGAAGGAAAAAGCTATGGAGGAGAAAATTTAAGGATACCAGTGAGCACTTCTTCGGGTGCCGCAACGCATTTACATATGGCCACATTTTTTGCATTCAAGGATACATTTTGACTCCTACAACATCCAAATGAAGCAGAAACGGAAATCATTGCAGGTGAGCTTTGCTGGGTGGGGTCTCATTTGTCTAGGAAAGCAAACAAAAAGCGAAAAACAGAAAGGATTTGAAGTGAAAAAAATACCTTGTATTGAAGTTTGAGGGAGCTAAAAAAGTGGAGGACGAGGAAGAGATTGAGATCGCCGGATTGTGAGAAACCATGGAGGACATCTTCGGCCAGAAGTGGAGATGGGGGAAGTCACTTGTCAGTGCAGGCCTCAGAAGCGGCTGCTCGTCCAGCAGCGCACTTGCAAAAATAGTGAACTTGAACGCATAAACCGTTTTTGGCCATCAAAATCGGGAGAAATTCTTAGGTACTCCCCGAGTACCAGGCCACTTGAACACTGACCAATCAAAAGGCTCCATTTCAGATCTATTTAGTCCTACCTGCATATGTTCTCTCTCCAACTTGCATCGTGTTTGGGAGACGGAAAATGGTTACGGCAGCCAGAAGCGATTTGCAGAAGCCCCACGCTTTGCCGATGGAGGATGAGCGAGGAGACGCCGGGTCAGGACTCCGAGTCGACTGCGAGCCCTAGCTTCGCCCCTTCAAGGACCCTTCCTTGCACTCCGTCTTCAACCTCGAGATGCGCTTCGATTCCTCTGTTGAGTTGGCTTGCTGTGGACCATGAGTTCAAGACGAAGATCGATTCCATGCTTCAATCATTCAACGGCTGGACTTCTCCTTGGAAATTGCACTGATCGGTTGCCTGCTCTGGTCATTGGAAGGTAAAATCCTGATTGCAAATTTCAACTTCTGTTCTTTCATCTGGGTCATGAAATTGGTTAAATGGTAATATCTAAATTGCTTTTTGACTGCCTCTAAAATTTCCCTCACCAATTCGCTAGTTGCTGCTGCAATTCTGGTTGCTAAAGATATCAAATTTCTACTTTCTCTTGAATATTTATCTAAAAATGAAATGAGTTTAATATTTGGGACTCTCTTCTATTCTTGTGTTCTGAAATCTAGCTAATTTGGGGAATTGGGTTAAGTGAGTTGTGTTTTTCTCTCTCTTGGGGTTCGTGCCAATGACTTGCGTGAATGGAAGACACAGGTCAACGCAAAACACCACCCGATCAGCTAGTGGAGGTGGCCGGCGAAGATCGGAAAAAGAAGAAGAAACTGGGCGAACTAGTCACCGAAATAATGGATGATCCCATGGAAGACAAGAACCTAGAGACTAGAACAGAAGATGAGGAAAGACAGTTGGAAGGAAATACACTGGATATTACGGAAACAAGTGCAAAGAAGACACCAGCTTCGTCATACAAACAATCTCTACTTGGCTATAATGGAATAGCTAACGGAGGAGGATGTATGGAATCAGAGGATCTTCTGTTTGATGAAGAAGAAATTAACTGGAAAATGCCAGAACCAACTGAGGAAATTAAAAGGCTTATGCAGATATATCCGGTAGTCCCTATTTCGCCGAAAGAATACAATGAGTGGTGTAAACCATGGAATTATTCATTGATCATTACTGTGTTGGGGCGCAGATTCAATCTGTATGTGCTTAAAAGCCATCTTGTCAGAATCTAGGGGATATCAGAATTTGAATTAGTGGACCTACCAAACAACTACTTTGTAGTTAAGTTTACAAGCCCGGATAACTGGAAAGTGCACTACCGGAAAATATTATATGACGGTCCGTGGGTAATAGCGCAACACTGTGTCTTAGTGCAGAGGTGGACACCATACTTCAATCCTTTCAGGAATCCACTCCGACGCTGCATAACTTGGGTTCGTGTCCCTCATATACCCATACATTGCTACAACCACCACTGCATGGCTCGTGTGGGGGAACGGATTGGACGCCCTCTTAAGGTTGATCTGAATACGCTGGCACTCAACAGATCGAAGGTGGAAAGAGGGAGATACGCCCGCATATGCGTGGAGTTAGATCTCCAGCGTCAACTGGTTCCTAGGATCATTGCAGCAGGGGACAAATTCAATGTTGAGTATGAAGGATTAAACCTTATTTGTTTTGAATGCGGGAGATACGGTCACCGTCGTGAAGGCTGTCCATGGAAACGAAGCACCAACTTGCAGAACACCCAACAACAACAAGGATATGGAGGCTCGGAACAGGAACAACGAGGCCTACCGGAGAAAGCACCAGCGACGGAATCAAAAGAGATGACCGAAACTTTTGGTCCATGGATGTTTGCAGCAGGCCCAAGGAAAGCTCGAATATCAAGTCGAGTATATCAAAAGGAAGGACATAACGGGTCAGGCACCTCACCTAAACCGGTCAGACAAAGAGAGCTACAGACCTCCCAATCGAGGTACGCGGCGCTCAGTAACCTCGAAGAAGAAGAAACAGATAATCAAATCTGGGTGGCGTGCGGGGGTAAGGAGAAAGATAGTGCTGACATCGAAGGAATCAGAAACATGACAGGGCAAAGGAAACAAGTCCTGACCTTAACTCAAGGTCCTTTACTAGCAGAGCAAAAAGGTGGGCCGGTTAAGGCCAGAAACAGAGGGAAAGGAAATAATCAAAACCAAGGAAAAGAGAATGAAACATCAAAGTCAGAGGGCAATGAAAAAACAAAAAATGGAGGTCAAGAAGCTGGGAAAGGAAAAAAAGGGGAGGCCCAAATAGAGCCCTTACCGAAAGAGAAGTCCAAAATGGCCAACAAGAGAGTGCATAGAGTAGTTCAAGGCCAAATGGACCGGCTAGTGGAGACAAAAGGGGCTGGGCAAACCTCTCATACAGACCAAGAACGTGGAAAGCAAACGAACAGTGGGGAACTCATGTCGAGGGAACAACGAATTGAACCAGGACTCACACTGTGTAAAATGACAGAACCACATTTGCTGGACAACCCAAAGCCCCCGGATCTGAAGAGGGAAGACAGTGGTGGGGAATCAGTAGAGATGATAAAGTCAACAACTGGGTCAATAGAAGAAGAAACAGAGGAAGCAGAAGTCGTGCCAAGTACATATGGCAGTAGTTAAGTACCCTTGTATCTCACTCATCTCATCTTTAATTTTTGTTATGATTATTGCTAGTTGGAACTGTAGGGGTGCCGGAGGGCGTGCTTTTCCTATCTTGATTCGTGATATTGTTCACAAAAATAAAATTGATGTTTTGTGCCTAATTGAACCACGAGTAAGCGGGGAAAGAGCTGAAAGAGTAATTAGAAAGCTTAATTTCACAAATTGGATCCGAGTTGAAGCATCTGGTTTTGCAGGAGGAATCTGGGTACTCTGGAACCAGAAAGATGTGAATGTACATTATATTTACTCAAATGAACAGATCCTTCACTGCCTCATTAAGAAAGCTCACTTAGCCGATAGCTTTTATGCTTCTTTTGTCTATGGAGAACCTGACTATCGAAAGAGAGCTCCCCTCTGGCAGGCTATACAAGCAATTGCAGACATCATAGAGGAGCCCTGGCTATTAATTGGTGACTTCAACGCTTACAGGTTCCCATCCAACAAAATGGGAGGGGCAAGGCCGAATATGCAAGCAATGGTGGACTTTAATGATTGCATAACTCAAGCAGGACTCATGGTGGTAGACAATAATCAATCTGATTTCACTTGGGAAAGAGGAGACTTGCGGGAAAAAATAGATTGGTCCCTGTGCAACCTGGCTTGGAAGGAGAGGTCAATTGGTCTAAACACAGCCCTCATAGAAGGTCTAAGCCACGCTTCCATTACCAAGCTGCTTGGTTATTAGAAGAAGGATTTTAGGAGCTAGTAAGTCAAGTTTGGCAAGATGAGGATTGGGTTCATGGAGCAAAAAAATTCCAGACTGAAGCTGCTAAATGGAATATGGAAAAGATTGGCAGCATCCCAGGCCGAAAAAGGAAAGTTCTTCAACGACTCAGTGGGATTGAAAAGAGAAAACTTACACAATGGCATACTGGGCTTAGCCGTCTGGAAGAAAGATTATGGAATGACTATAATAAGCTGATCATGCAAGAAGAACTAATGTGGTTCCAAAGAGCTAGATGTCAATGGCTTCAGTGGGGGGATAAAAACACAAAATATTTCCATGCTACTGCTATGATAAAGAAAAAGAGGAGTGTGATCGCAGAGCTGCAAAATGATGCAGGGGAATGGATCAGAGACAATGAATAGTTGAAGCAAATGGCAAGCGATTACTTCAAAACCCTGTATACGAGTGAAGCAGATCCAAATAGAGTGATAAGCTGGCCCAATGCCTTTCCAGCAATCCAACCATAGCACTTAGACCTGATACATAAGGAAGTGAGCAACATTGAAATAAAAAATGCAGCTTTTGCGATGGGAGCTTTTAAAGCCCCAGGACCAGATGGACTTCCGGCACACTTCTTCCAAACACAGTGGGACAGAATTGGGGACCGAATTTGCAGGCTGGTGAAAGAAATTTTCAGGGACCCATCGAAAATCAAGGAAATTAATTCAACAAATATAGTCCTCATACCCAAGGTGGAACACCCAACGACCTTAAAAGACATGAAACCAATCTCATTGTGCAATGTGAGCTTTAAGATTGTGACCAAGATCATTGCGACAAGGCTGCAGCCAGTGATGGATTACCTAATAGGAGCAGAACAATGCAGTTTTATCAGGGGTAGATCCAGTTGTGATAACATTGTGGTTGCACAAGAAGCCATCCACCTAATGAGAACTAAGCCTGGAAGGAAAGCATATGTTGCAATCAAGGTGGATATGGAGAAGGCCTATGATAGACTAGAATGGTCATTTCTTGAGGATACACTCAGAAGTATTAGCATTAATGAGAACATCGTAAGGGTAATTATAGAATGCACAAGATCAGCTAAAATGAGAGTCCTATGGAATGGTGAAGAAGGGCCTACCTTCACCCCCTCAAGAGGAGTACGCCAGGGAGATCCTCTAAGTCCATATCTGTTTGTTCTGTGCATGGAAAGACTGGGGCAACTTATAAAGGCTAAATGTGCTAACCAAAGATGGAAACCTCTCCGATTCTACAGTGAGGGACCCTACTTATCCCATCTCTTTTTGCGGATGATCTTATCTTGTTTGCTGAAGCCTCACAGAACCAAATCAGAGTCATTAAACAGGTCATGGAAAAATTTTGCATAGACTCAGGACATAGGATTAATCTAAGCAAATCCAAAGCTTTTTTCTCTAGGAATGTCAATTTCCATCGAGCTGCTAGTTTATGCCAAAAGCTTGGCATCGGAATAACACCTGATCTTGGTAAATATCTCGGAGTACCTCTCATTCACAAGAAGGTGACCAAGGAGACATTTGGGCATATCACAAGAAAAGTCAGAGCCAAGCTTTCATGCTGGAAAGGAAAGTTTCTTAATATGGCAGGACGCACTGTACTTATCAAAGCAGTCATAGCAGCTCTTCCATCTTACCAGATGCAATCTACTCTTATACCTAAAGGAGTTTTGAAAGAAATTGAGAAGATTAGCCGAAACTTTCTTTGGAGTCAAGATGAGCATGCACAGAAAATGCACCTTATCTCGTGGGAAAGAATTATGCAGAACAAAGGCATGGGTGGGCTTGGCATTAAAAATCTTGAGAAACAAAATCAAGCTTTTGTAATGAAGTTGTGTTGGGGTCTGGTAACGAAACCTGAAGCCCTATGGGTGCAATGCCTGAGAGCCCGGTATGATTGTGGAAAAGAGACCATTCCTGCAGTTGTCAAACATAAGCAATGCTCATTGACTTGGAAAGCCATTTCTGTGGTATGGGAGAAATTCACCCAAGGACTAGGTAGGAAGCTAAATAGTGGAAGACAGACCAAATTCTGGCTGGACTTATGGACACCGCTTGAAGGACCTCTGATTCAATATGCTTCAAAAAACTTAGATAGAATTGATCCTCATAGCCTGGTTGTAAATTTTGTCTTGCCAAGTGGTCAATGGGATGTCGGGCAATGGAATGAGTTTTTTCCAGAAAATATAACAAGAATCCTCCAACAAATTAGACCACCAAGTGCTGATGAGGAAGATGGGGTATGCTGGCATAATGCCCCGGATGGCCAGTTTACAGTTAAAGCAGCATATAAGTTCTTATCTGAGTCGACTACCAATGCTGAAGGATCGATGTGGAAGAACATATGGCGTTGGCAAGTGCCTGAAAAAATAAAGTACTTCCTTTAGCAAACAGCTCATGAGAGATTAATGACCAACTCACTTAGATCTAAAAGAGGGATAACGGATTCTAGCCTATGCCCCTTAGGCTGTCTATGTGAGGAGAGTATCATACACATATTGAGGGACTGTAATAGAGCGACACAAGTGTGGAAGAAATTTATTCAACCTAACTATTCTGCTGTCTTTTTTTCTCAAAATTTGCAGGACTAGCTCACGTGGAATATGAAGAACAATCCAGCAAGAGAAAGATTCCAACGATGGACATGGACGAAGATCTTTGGCCATGTATGCTAGCTCATCTGGAAAGCACGGTGCAACCAATTATTTGGAAGAGACAACAGCACAGATTCCAAAATCTACCACCAAACTTTGTTTCACATCATGGAGGATATATCTGGAACACAACTACGCCATCAAATCCTCAAGGATCATCAAAGCCTACCTAGACACTGGATTGGACCACCGATGGGTGAACTCAGAGTGGATGTAGATGCATCAGTCCGAGAGAATCAACAAGCAACCTGTGGTGGTGTAGTCCGTGACCATCGAGGAAAGTGGATCATAGGTTTCGCAAGGAAGCTTGGAAACTACCCAGTTGTGGCTGCTGAAATTTTAGCTATCAAAACTGGGATGGAGGTGTGCAAGAGCCTCAATATAAGAGACTTTCAGATACACTCAGACTCACTGGAAGCCATTTCCACCCTGATGAGAGATAGTGGCATAAACCATCCATTCAGACAAGAGATTGAAGAGACAAGGAAACTCATCTATGAAGAGTGGAATATGAAGCTTGCATATGCTGCCCGAGAATCACTACAATGTGCTGATGCGTTAGCAAAGCATGCTCACTCAATTGTGGATCAGATGGAAGTTTATCCTGATGTTACTAACTGCTGCAGGAGATTAGTTTTGATAGACATAGATAATAGGGAAGGAAATATAAATATATAACTCCCCTTATCAAGCGTAGCTTGTCCTTGTACTCAAAAAAAAAAAATCCAGCTAATTCATACTGTTGTTTACTTCTAATTTTGAGGACTCTCCATAAAGAAAACCAAAGATTGAGACTTTCATATGAAGCCAATGCAAAGTTGCTGCGTGACTCGAGAATTTTTCAACAGAGGTTTCAAGAGTGTAGCATTAACTTCCTTGTTGAGGAGGAGGATAAACTGATTGTTGATGCTTCTCTGTATGAATGCAACTGCCAAATCTGACGACAAGGAGGATAATGAGGAAAAGGAAATTAATTTGAGAAAAATTGTTTTAAGCCGGTTCTTAGAGAAATGACATAGTTGATTCTACATGTGTGCTTTATCATTCAAAATGGGAATCAATTGGTGAGTTCTTTATTATTTATTGTTTTTCGTAGTAGATCCTTGTATAAATTCCTTTTTCCATTTTTTTTGGACTATCCTTTGTATACATTCTAGGAAAAAAAATCCAGATTGGCATGGTAATCAATTATCGCAAAGCCATTCTTCACTACCACAATAGCCTTTTCATTTAGCTAACTTCTCATGGCCCTAGTCCTGACAACAAGTTGCATTTTATTTGAATCAGCACATATGAGAAAGGCTTAAGTTATCTATATATCTTTTATATAACATTTATATTCTATGTATTTTTATAAAATTTCTATGAAAATACTATTTATCAGCCATGAAATATATTACCCATCTCAAGTGATGAATAAGACAGAGGGCATGTATTTGGCTTATTATTTACATTGACCAAAAAGAATGTCATACATTGGCCGCATAAGCTAGTTTTACTATCTCACCACTGGGAGAAGCAATTTATAGCATATTCTTAATGTTAATCGTCTCAATATATATATAGCAACAGTATTTGCTTTGACTGGGACATCTCTATCGTATCTCAAGTGTACAGACTACAAAGGAAAGGGAAAATAATTTTAATGTTACAAAGGGAAAAGCTACCAAGGTAAAATTGCAATAAACTCCTCTGCCCATTCAAGATACCCCTCTGCAAAATGGTAGACAATATATCCAATAAATCCACGGCCAACGTAATTGCACTTGTTTTGGCCAAAATGTAGCTGCATTTGCCTGTCCAATGACGTGCCTTGCTCTTAGGCATCGCCATGTATAGTTGCAGTCAGCGACATACCTAAGCTCATAATCACCTTAAACCTGCCTATTAGTACCACCAAACATTCATGTCTTTAGAAGAACCCATCTACTGCTTCAAATTCTATGAGCCAACCATGCCCCCTATTTGCTTTAGCATCTATGGCCGAGGGACTTTCTCATCTGCTGGGCATGCATGCGCAGATTTCACAAGATTAAGCATTCAAACTACAACATATAATACCCATTATTCATTTCCAGAGATATATGTTCTAATCTAAATACTGAATACTAGTTGGAAATAAAAGTACTCATGTAAAATATCTCGGAGTCAACCTCCTTCTATCTAATGAATATATGAATCTTTAAACCTAGTAAAGATCTTCAACATATAATGCAAAGTAGGGTATGCATCTGTTGGAAGTTAGACGTGATATAATTCCAGGAACTTCATCAAGAGAATATGCAAGCCAAAGAAAAAGGATACGCACACACGCTATGAAGTACAGAATAAATTGTAGATGAAGGTCATAAATGTATCCCTGATTAATCTTTTCCAGACACTCCAAATTGGAAGTTGCACTTGCAGTGTCACGGCCAGTTAATTTAGTACACCCGGTCAACTCCAAAAACCTGAGCTTCTTACACTCCTGACACAACGCATCAAAGCCTTTAGCTAATAATTTGGAAAACCTAATCTCAAGGCACTCCAGACGTGGCACAGAATTTGCAACAGCTGCAGCCTCAGAAAAATTAGAAGCCAATTTCAAGTACGCAGAACAATTGAACGCAAAAAAAATAGAAACCAAATTCAAGTAGGCAAAAGAAAACCAATTTAGATTTTGTGATTTAACCGATTTTGCTTCTTGTTTTCTTTTTCAGTGAAACAAATTTTGCTTCTTCGATTTTAACTTTCACAACCCAAATGAAACGAACGGCCGTTGAAATTTGCAATCAGGATTTTACCTTCCAGCGACCAGAGCAGGCGACCGATCAGTGCAATTTCCAAGGAGAAGTCCAGCCGTTGAATGATCGAAGCATGGAATTGATCTTCATCTTGAACTCACGGTCCACCGCGAGCCAACTCAACAAAGGAATCGAAGCACATCTCAAGGTTGAAGACGGAGTGCAACGAGGGGTCCTTGAGGGGGTGAAGCGAGGACTTGCAGTCGACTCGGAGTACTGACCTAGCGTCTCCTCGCTCATCCTCCATCGGCAAGGTATGGGGCTTTTGCAAATCACTTCTGGCTGCCGTAACCATTTTCCGTCTCCCAAACATGTTGCAAGTTGGAGAGAGAGCATGTGCCAGGTAGGATTAAATGGATCTGCCATGGAGCCTTTTGATTGGTCAGTGTTCAAGTGACCTGTTACTCTAGGAGTAACTGGTGTTTATTGTCTCTGAGCGCCAGCCGCAATAATCCATGAACATAACATACAATTAACTAATTTAAATTAAGGAGATTAAAAAAGTTTTACTTGATCATAGTGATAGTATACTGTCTCCATTTGATATAAAAACTAGTTCACTGATTTAAATAGATTAAAAAAATCTGCTAAGTTAGTTATTAGTAGTAAACTAAAAATTTCTCCCCTGCCATACAGGGATTAGAATATTTGATTAGATTTTAAATTCTATTCAATGTTCACTTCTTATAGGAGTATGTTTTTTTATTCATTCAAATGAGATTTGAAGTAGATATGAGAAATTTTGGGAAAACATGTGGAAATTTAAAATTATTTATTTATTCATCCATTTAGGCCCCCAATTAACATAGGAGTACTATTTAATTATGATACTTTCTATTTAATTCAATATATTCAAATTTCAATTAAGATATTATTTGAATTCAAAATTAATTATTAGTTTCTTCATTTGAACCTCCAATGAAATTCTATTTGATAATGATTTTTCTCATTTAATTCAATATACCTAAATTCTAATCAAAGTATTATTCAAATCTCATTAATTAAATATGTTCACATCGCATATTATTATACCCCACCCACTTTTTTAAACGAATTGAGTATTGCAAGTTTTCAAGAATATAGTTGATAATTGATAGGTATTGTTTTCTCTAGAATACTCTTGATAACTATGTGTATTAATTAGAATTACCATTTGATGGAACCTTTAACATGTGTAACTACTACAAAGGACTACTTTGGAAAAAATGGATAAATATAAAAAACAAAGTAGATTGGGGTTTTATATTTACGATCAAATTAAAAGTTAAACTAGCTCTTATATTAAGAACCGGTAGTATGTTACATGATTTGTTTAAAATATTTTTGTGTATGAGTGTATCATTAGATTATATTACCTCTATTCCTTAATATAAAAGTTAGTTTGATTTTTAATTTGGTTAGAAATATAAGACCTCAATCTATTTTGTCCCTCATATTTATCTATTTTTTTCAAAATAATCCTTTCAGTAGTTGCAAATGTTAAAAGTTACGTAAAATAGTAGTCCTAGCTAATACACATGATTATCAAAGGTATTTTAGAGAAGACAATACTTATTTATTATTAATAACTAATTTAATTATTTTCCTTAATTTACTCAAATTAGTCAACTAGTTCTTATATTAAGGACTTGAGGTAATATATCAATTTATAAATTGGACAAATTAGCTAGGAGAAAAATGATAAATATAAATATTTTAAAATAATTTAGTAACTTCTTTAATCTCTTCAAATTAATTAACTAGATCTTATATACTGGAAGTAATATTATATATATACGAGTAATATGTATCAATTATTAACCAAAAATCATGATTATTTAATCTTGATGACTAATATAAGACGCTGACTAAACTTTGTTTTATTGAACAATAATCTAAATGTACTTAAAATTTATAGAGATAAATATGATTGATAGATAGTTGGCTCTTTACGGTGCTCCCAAGCCGGCACAAAACCTTGGCGGCAGCGAAAAGGTGCAAGGAAATTATAGTTATTTGTTAATTGAAAAAATCACGTATTGCAATTGAAATTTTTTTAAATAAATCGATTAATTATATTTATATTCTATCAATCTATCTATTATCAATTGTGAATTAATTATTATTGTCATTAGATTTTGGTGTTTTAAATAAAATTAAATCAATTAATATTAAATTTTAAAGAAATCATTTCAAATTCTAATTACTATTAAACTACGGAATTCAGTTTTTTGTTATATAATATTTGTTCTGAATATTTTTATATGAGATCAGCATAATATTTATTTTTTGTTTCTGTGGTTTAATTATTTCTTTTTCTTTTACCAGCAAGTTTAATTATTTCAAACTCATGAAACGTTAAGTATCTCATGTTTTTTTAATATTATTGACGTTGACAAGATCAAGAAACAAATTTCATTGTTCTTTATTCCCAGGATTGTATAATTATAGTGTATATATTTAATTTCTATGCAACTATTGGATCACTAACCAGATAACAAATAAATTTCAATGCTTTGAGTTTTTCCAAATTCCACTATTATCGGGCCAAATTTTGAGTAAATTCAATATTTTTTATTTATTTTCATAACCCACATGTCCATATACTTTTTATAATAGAAATGTTTAAACTTACAACTTCATGTTAAAAAAAAAAACTCACACGTTCATTAAATTATTTGCAAAGAGCTTGAACCTACAACTTCACATCCAAAAAAACTTTAAAAAAATACATTTGATATTATTGGATTGTAAATCCAGTACATAAATAAATTCAACAATAACTGTAAGTAAGAACTAATTGTTGTTGGGTTGGTAGTCTCTGTTATGCTGTTATAATATACTTCTGTTTTTAGACTTTAAACCCCTGATTTAGTCCTGATTCAGAAGTAATTGGTTGTTTTATATGTATTGTTTTATCTTTTTATTAGTTAAACAAATTGGCTTTTTATCAAAGAAAAATAAGAACTAATAAAGAGGGAGGAGTTCAAAATGCCTTGTAAGTAACTATCATTATAATTACACAAAATCAACTCAAGAGATATTATAAGCTGAGCCCTTATCGTTGGACGCGTCTAGTGTTTGGGCATTTTCCTATTAAATTATTTCTTGCAATTTTATGCTTTGTAAAACTGCTTATTTTCTTTATTTTATTAAATTTTCATTTTCCTTGAATGCATTCTATAATTTTATCCCATTATATATTTATATAAGTTCAATAATTAATTTGTAAATATTAAAATTATTAGTAAGTTAATTATTTATAAAATATGTGTCAGCTTCCTCATCATCTATTTTAATCATTTGTATTGAAAATTACCTTTTCATGGAAAACTTTTTATATGTGCAATTAATAGCATAGGAAGAACAGAGAAAAAAATTATAAAAGCAACATACAAAACGAATTTAAATTTTATATTTAAAATTAAAACCAGCCCATCTACTAGTTTTTACATTTAAAAGCAATGGGAGTAATTGATATGATAAAATATCACCTCTTCCGCTTTTAAATATAAAAACTATTTAATTAATTTGGATAAATTAAAAGAGTCAAATAAATCAGTTAATTATGACAAATGTCACATAAGTTAATTATAACAAATGTAACTTAGTCTTTCTAATATACTCATATATAACATTAGATTATGTATCAACTTATAAGTTAGGTATATTAATTTAGAACTACATTTACCTCCTAATTAGCTTCTATATTTGTAACAACATTTAGTTATGGAAAAATATATTGGAGTATTATATTTATTAGAACTACATTCAACTTCTTAGGCATGAGCATAACACTTGAAATACTCTTTAAGCTAAATTATACAAAACTTTCTTTAACTTTGAATCATGTAAAAAAAAAAAAATTATTAAACTTTAAAACTTAGTACGAACTCAGATAAAAAAAAAAACTTAGTACGAACACAGCTACACTTTTGAACGCTTTATAGATAAACTCCAACAATCAATTTTATATTCCCTTTAAATTATTACCCCCAGGTTTTTAATACAAGACTTTATTTAATTTTTATTTTGATCCTAAATATAAAATTCTAGTCTAATTTGTCTCTCATATTTATCGATTTTTTTCAAGACAATCCTTATAATAATGATAGTCTTAATTAATACATTTGATTAGTAAGGATATTTTAGGAAAAATAATGCATATTTATTACAAATAACTAAACTAATTTTTTTAATCTACTCAAATTAGTTAACTAGCTTTTATATTAAGAAATAGAGGTAATATATTTTTGTATGTATATGATGGCTTGAATTATATGCTTATGAGCTCCTAAACTTTAATATATGAGCAGATAAATAATGAACAGAACTATTGATAAAGAAAATTAGATAGAAAATTAGATAAATAGCATGAGTATCAAATTGGCAAGAGTTCATGAAAAGGAAATGGCATATACAACCGATCGACTAGTTTCTGGGACCACTTGTACATTTGGATAGACTTGTCTCTGTTTCTATTAATTTGTGCAATTAAGAAAAGAAATTTACAATCCGCCCTCAATTAAAGAGAGGAGTCTCCAATTTAGGTGCCTGTCCCTCTCTCTCTCTGTTTTTTTATTGGCATTTTCATTTTTGCTCTTCCTCGCCCTGTTCTTGTTTGCCAAAAATAAACAAGTGAAAATTAAGAATTCGGTCCCAAAGTTCACACCAATAAAGTAGTTGATCCCCAAAGTTCGTAAATAATTTTAACTTTTATTATCTAAGTTAATCCTCATAATTTTTGTAAAACTTTTAATCAAATATCTATGCATACCGTTGGAGCACATTATTATTAGTGTGCTACTGATGTGGCATGCTCCCATGCTAATTTTGACTCAATTTGATTTTCACTCTTTTGAGTTTCTGGCTTAGATTGTGAGTTTTGTTCTTCATGAGTATGGATATAAAAAGAAAAGAAAAAACTTTCAAGAAAGTTGGTTATTTTTTTGTTTTCAAAATAATTTTATAAAGTTATTTTTTGCAACAAGTTCAGATTACAAAAAACAAAAAACTTTGTTTGGATAATAATTATAAAAAAACACGTTTGAAAAAAAAAATTAAAGAAAATCACACTTGAAAAGCAATAGTTGTTGCCGATAGTGACAAGTAGTGGATAATAGGTAAGAAGAGAAAAAAAATTTCTCAAAATATTTCAAAAAAATGAAAAATACAAAAAAAAAAAAAAAACATGTAAAAGTTATTTTGGTTTTTTAGTTCTTAAAAACATATTACTAAAAACAAATTATCAAACAAAGTTTTTTTTTACTTTTCTATTTTTAAAAATAAAAAATTATTTTCAAAATAAGAAAACAAACAAGCTCTAGATTTCTTCCTTTCTTCCTACTTTTTTGTCGTCTTCATTTTTTTGCACACGACTGCCGACTACAATTATAGAGAGGAGAAGAAAAACCATCGGGCAACGACAAGCATAAACGAGAATACCATAACATACAGTGGGGACAATGCTTCGCTGCCAAGTTCAACCCGAACTTCTCACCGCCGGGTGATGGAGAGGACAACAATAATGATGCTATAGTAGTGGGGACGCGAGCAGTACACTCTTCTACATTTTTAGAAATATAATTATTTTTTATCTTAATTATAAGACTCTGTTATTTGTTTTTTAAATTTTTTTTATCATGCTGAAAAATTGGTTCCCCCAAAAAGGTGGGAAGCCGCCTTTCCATGTGTAAGAAAAAAAATTTCTTTCTATATGAATTTTATTTCCTAGAAAATCTAGGGGCTTGTTTGTTTTGTTTTTTGTTTTCTTGTTTTCAAAACAATTTTATAAAATTATTTTTCAGAACAAGTTTTAAAAAGAAAAAATAAAAAAAATGTCTGGATAATAATTTTTAAAAAAATCACTTTTGAAAAAAATTAATAAAAAATCATACTTGGTAGGTAATAGTTGTTGTTAGTAGTGATAGGTAGTGGATAGTAAGTAAGAAAATAAGAAGATTTCTTAGAATTTTTCAGAATAGAAAATAAAAAACAAAAAAAAAGAAAACATATAAAAATTGTTTTGGTTTTTTAGTTTTTAAAAACATATTACTGTTTTTTGTTTTTAAAAACAATCAACTAAAAACAAATTATCAAACAACTTTTTGTGTTTTTCTGTTTTTAAAAACTAAAAATTATTTTCAAAATAAGGAACAAACAAGCCTCTAATTTTTTTTTTTCCATTCCGATCACAACATTTTCAGCTTACCAAACATGCCTAGCTATTGGGATCAATATAAATGAATTTAATTTCATTTTAGGATTAATAAATTGTAAAATTATAGTTTTTGTCTTTTTGAGTCTTAATCCGTAATTTAGAATTACCTTCCATAATTTAATACTAAAAATGTAAGAAAGAAGCCACTAGTCCACTATTGTAGCTAAGTGTCCTAAAGTTAAATAAATTGATGCTTAAAAATAACTTTTTTATACAAGATGATTAAAAATATTTAAAATGACTAATTTATACCAGTCTAGTCTTTTTTAATTATCACTTGAAGGAGGAAATTTTGGTCCTTTTTATTTGTTACTTTTATCCTATTTAATGCTTCATTTTCAATTCAATCCCTATCAATTAAGGGAGCCAAAAGTAAAGATGAAAAGAAAGACAATGAGTAAGAAAAATATACTAATTATTTAATAAACATAAAAATAAAAGATTTTATGTATTTAATAATTTTCTTAATATGTGGAAAACTATTATAAATGATAATTAAAAAGTACCAGAGAGCACGGTGGTATATAATTTAATTAAGGTTAAAGTATATATTTAGTTTTTTAACTTCGTATAATGTTTCAATTTGATCCTTTAACTTTAAAAAACATATATTTAGTTCTTTCACCCTAAAATCATTAGGTTTTAATAATACTTTTTGTAACAATCATAAATTTTTTGAGAATTAAACATAATATGTTAGCATTTGGAAATGTTTTATCAATATTTAAGATTTTAATGTTATTATTTTTTAAAAAAAATTTAGAGTTAAAGGATTAAAAGTATAATTTTTAAAGTTAAGAGACCAAATTAAAATTTTATATAAAATTAAAAGATTAAATGTATTTTTTAGTCTTTAATTAATGAGCAAACTAAGATTCTCAAACGACATGCCTCATCATTATTAAAGTGATATCCTTGTGGTTTCCCGATGGAATTTCATCTAACTTCTTCGACGTTGACAAGCCTGTGGCCCGTCCCTCTTATGCGCAACTGGATTCAACTGACGCGTAAAATAAAATGAAAATTGAAAATGAACATAAAAATAATTTATAATTTTAGAATGTAATATGTTTTTCATGTAATACATTATAATTGTTCTCCAATTCTCCTGCCAAAGGTTAGATGGCAACTTATTTAGATTTTTCCCCTCTTGTAATACACACATATATCCTTTTGGGGCAATTATCAATTTTTTTTAAAATTTAATTATAAAAAAGTCCTAATATCAAGTGCTCAACTTGAACGCGTTGCCATTCCTTACTTTAAAACTTGTTATTTTTTTTTCACTTGTCAATCTTTTTTTCTTTGATATTAGAATCTCATTAGGATGTTTTTACTTTTCATTTAAATTATGAGAATTATGCCGGAACTGTTGAATTTTTTAGATACTGATTCTTATATCGAAAAATGTTTCTTTCTATTTGTACTATTTCAGATACAAATTTTATAATAATTAAATCCCTTGCTTGGAACCAAATTGTACTTCTTCCTGTCATTTTCACTCACAATTTACATAGTTTTTAATTTTTTAATAATTTAAAAATTATGGAAACATTGTTGAAATAGGTATAGAAGGATTGCAGAAATCAAAATAATGAAAGTATTAATAGATGAAGCCCAAGTCCTATAATTTTTTTTATATTAAGGTATTTTAGTCAAATAGTATTAAGTTAAATTTCGTTATAAACTAGATTATTTGACAATTTTTTAAGAAAAAGACTTCAATACTTAATCTTAAATATCTAATATATTTTTGTCCAATCAAGTTAAGTGAATTATAAAGTACTTAAGAATATGATTTGATTAGAAACAGTTATTTTACGATATAAAGCTAAGCATATAAGTTTTTACTGCTTTTTAATTTATGCATGTAAGATTAAACAATAATTACTTCATAATTAAGAGAATCAAAATAACATCCAACATTTTCATTAAAAATGATTAAAAATATCTCATATAATTTTTTATTATTCATTGACACAAACGTCACCTTTTTATCATGCATATTCTTATACAAGTCAAGATTTTTTTTTATAAAAAAAACAAATTTAGATGTCCTTCTACAAATACACTTGCAAAATTTGTAGTTTAATTAAATTTTTTATAATAATTACTCTAATAAATAAAAGGAGTTTTGGAAGAATCACCTTCAACGAAATCCAACAATGTTTACTCAATATCAGATAATTATATAAAAAAATTAAAAGAGTATACCATAAATAATAAAAGAAATTTTAGGGCATATTACATTAATTCTGGGAAAAATTGATAATGATTTTCTGTTTGAAAATTTAATTAGCTAAGAGGACTTGAATTTGAGCAGGTGCAAGTATGATCCCTGAATACAATATATCTTTTGTTATGTGCAAATGACTTTCGTATTGATAATTATTGCATATCATTGATAACATGTTACACACAATAGAAGATATGTTGTACTTACATATCATAATTACACTCGTTCAAATTTATGTTCCTTCAGCCAATTAAATTTCAATCAGGGATTTTTTTTTTACTAATTTTCTCATTAATTCTGCACAGGATAGCAAGAGTACCGCCCGTTTGTTATCATGTACGTGGGTGCGCCGCTGCTTTACCAACACGCTCCCCCGGCTCCGCTGTTTCTGGTGAGTGTCTTTGGGCTCCTCATTATAAAAGGGGAATCTTCCAAATCAAAGCGGTGCTCTGGATCCAACAGGAAATCCCATTTGCAAGAAAAAGAGAAAATCTTATATATATAAAAAATGAAATGCCTTCGAGCTTTTAATTCCCACTGTATTTTACGCTCTAGTTTCTGCTCAGAGTAAGAGCACGACAGATCTGGATCGCGACGGCAGAGATCTACTTTCTTTGATTTCATTTCAGGCGGTCCTTTTCTACTTGCCCAAATAATTCAAGCTATCTCTTTCTGTTTCTTTCATCTCAAGTTTTATCTTTCAGGTCTGTCTGCTCCGTCTAATGCTATCTTTGTTGCTTGAGTTTCGTTTATGTTGATCTGTTTTCTTTACTTCGTTGTAGCGGGTTGCAGCTTGTTTTTTGTTTGCTTTGGTAACGATTTGCCATTTCAATTGACATTTGATTATTTGCTAATATCTGGAGGAGCTAGCGGATAAGATAAGCTTAATTTGTCGGAACTTCTTTGTTAATTGTGGTATGGTTGTCATATTGTCGTGTAAACTAACTGCAATTAGAACGGACTCACCAAGCTATAGAAAGAGATATGGAAAGAATTACAATTTATGGGGTCTGACTAAATTAGCTGGAGATACTTATATTCGCTGTGCGTCATTAGCTTGGTGCTGCCGAGATTTGATTGATGCTATGCTTTCCTGCTTTTCACTCAAATGTTAAACGGTAAACCTTTGAGGTTCGATTGGGAGCTGTGGGGAGAGCAGTTTTTTCATCCTTTTGTAGAGGTATAGTGAAATCGCGCTCCAAACTTCAAATATGCTAGCTAGAACTCATAAATGGCTTAAATGTAATAGATCATGCAAAGCAAAAAAACATGAGATGTTAGAAATAGAAACATAAAAAAACTAAGGTTAATAGCTTTTAATGGCCTATGAAAAATTTAGTTCAGTTCAGATTGTACTTCAATAGCATGTACTCCATACCGTGTATTGAACATAATCTTATCAAATGTTTCGGGATGTCATTAGTTTCCTTTAGAATATAGCCTAGGACTTAGACAACTGTGGGTATTTAATGTTCCCTGTCTTCTAAACACTTGGTTCTTTTGAAATTTATACTCAAAACCATTCCAATGTATATCATCCCAATAATGTACATTTTTGGAACATGTGGCTGTACATTGATATGAGATTGTCACTGTAAGTGCTCTGGCATGTATATCATCTGTGAGTTTCCTGTGATACCTTGAGTCATTTGATAGCGTACTATGTTGTTCTACATGCAGATGTTTGGCATTCATTTTGCTATTTCAATTTACTTGTAGATAAATATAATGCTCTAAGATTTAAAGATAAGTAGTATGCTTATATGGTATTTGAGACATTTTAGTAGTTTAGGAAGCAGAGATACTATGCACTTCTGAATTGAAAGAAGTAAGTGTAAAAAGCATGATAACATAAAAGGAAGTAACTTCCTTTTCTGGAATTACTATAATCAAGCTAATGTCTAACACTTGTGCATTGTGCTAGGTTTGAGAGGCTCATTGCTACGATCATGTCAAGGAGGCCAGTAAATGTTTCCCGGCGCTTAGCTGATGGTGGGAGCATTCCATTTGTGGGCTCAATTCAGTCTAAATCTAACAGCTCCCCTTTACTGTCCATTGGTCTCGTTGTTGTGGTGCTTCCCTATGCATTTCTGTTGATTTTATATTAGTGAAAGAAAATTTAGCATCCTTAAAGTTTAGTGTGCAATACTTTTATGCACATGTTTGTTGCAACATCGATGCATCAAATTACTCCTACAGTGGCCCTTTCCCTGCCCCTTCCCATTATGGTTATTTCAACTTGTATATTCCATTGCATTCATCGCATATTGAGTTGGCTGTATACTGAATTTGAGTTTTGCGACTTTCAGGGTGCGATCCTCATCGTTGGTTACGTTTATAGCAATTCAGGTTTGTAAATAATCTGTTGACTAGAATCACCTTAAATTAAGAACATATCATTTTTAATGCAAAAGGGAAGCATCTTGAATATGTCCCCAACTATTCAACATCACGCTTCAAATACTAATTGACACAGTGACTCACTTCCGGGATCTAGTCTTTTTGAGCTTGAATTTTCTGAACTCTCTTTAGGGATGGATTTGTTTTGTCAATAAGATGCTCTCACAATCTCATAAGGCCACAAGAAGCGCACAGAGAAGTATTCAAATTTTCATACCCTCAGTGGGTTAAAGTAAAATAAGAGGCTATAAATAACATAGATAGCAACCTCAGCTTAAGCCATAAACATGGAATAATTCATTGAGTAACACTTTTCCCTACGAGGAAGATTAGCAGCAGTCCAATTTGAACCTTTCCAAGATCAGTTAAGTTTCTTTCTTTCCTTCTCTTTTAGCGCCCTCCTGTCTGTGTCTTGGAATCATACCAAATTAATGCCACTCCTTTATCAATGAACCTTCCAATTCCTTTTAAACCTTCCTAAATTTAATAAGTAATTGAGTAATTTAACTTCGAATTGTGACGTTATACAAGCCAGAAGCAGAGAATAATAAATTAATATACGGAAGAAAATGAATCTTGTCACATTCTGCCATGAAAATCACATATCTTGTTAAATCCTTATTTTTAACAAAATATTTAATAGATAAAAGAAAAAACATGCAGAAAAAAATACCACTTGCGTCATTAATGAAGAAGGCCTAAAAATTATTAGTTTGTTTGTAAACTCCATAACGAAGCTGATTTTGCTAACTTTATTTGCTCACTTGGCAGGTGGAGCAAGTGTTGATATTAAGGGTTTAAGTAGACTTGAAGGTAATACTTGTACCATTTTTGTTCTTTTGTTGTGTTATTGAAATTCAAGCTTCCATAGCAATTTTATATAGGCGAACAGTCAAGCACTTGATTGTCATTGTAGCAGAAGTAGGGAAATGCTAAATTAATTAGATTTCCTGTTTTCTCTAAATTTATCTCGCACATGGGTTATCTTGATGCATAATTTATTGTTAATTTGGTAACCATCCGCTCATATGGACCGAGTTAGCTTCTAGAAAATGTGATATCACCTGGTTTCTTGTCTCAAAATGTGAATGCTGTATTGAATAACATGAAAGCGGTTAGCTTGATTCGTTTTTTTCATATAGATAGCATTATGTAAATTTTTTAATTCGGATATATCTTATTTAAGCCTTATTTACCTTTTCTTCAGGAGTGAGAGTGGTAACTGGTATTTCTATGCTTTCTTTGATATTGTTCTGTGTTGAAATGCCTGAAGCTTATTTAGATCAAATGCTATTCTGGCCATGATGAACATGTTTTAAGCTAACTGCATGTCGAGGGCTTAAGTAACTCGTTCCTTGCTTGTTCCGATCCTAATAAAGAGCTTCAGATCCGATTCTGCACTACATACGATATTCCATTCCAGCCCTACAGCTTATATTTTGAACTGATTGCTTGGTGTTCAGATTTTAAGTACCACATGCACTCAGAATGGAAAGGATTCTGAATGGAATTTCAATTTAGATCGTACAAATAATTTTGAAACAGGAAAAAGAATTGTCTTGTAGTTTCTTCACCTTGTTTCAATCTCTATACTCATGCCCAAACTCAGTTTTTATTTTCAACAAAAATGAAAGGAATGCATAAATGTATTCTCTGATGGTTCTGATATTTGGAGTGAGCATGAAACCTCATTTTGCTGAATAATATGAGTTACATGTCCTGAACTGTGGTTATTGTATATGAAACCTGGCAAGCGTGCGTCTTAATGTGTGTGATAGACTTTAATAACGCCGTCTTCTTACTATAATTAGCAGCTCTCTTATCTTAGTCTGTACAAGAAACAATAATAATGATGTGTCTTGTTACTATAAGTGTGAACTATTTTGTCAGCTTCTAATGTAAAACTGTTGATTACCCTACTTAAGGATTCAGTTCAATAATCTCCGGTGTGTACATGTAGGTGGTGCTTCATGCACATCAGAGGTTCTACAAGCATTGCCTGTATTGAAGAAAGCATATGGAGACAGCTCGCGTAAGGTTTTGCATGTTGGCCCTGACACTTGTTATGTGGTATCTGGTTTACTGAAAGAAGAGGAAACCGAGGCCTGGGGAGTTGAGCCGTATGAGTTAGATGATGTTAGTGCAAACTGCAAGAATCTTGTACGCAAGGGCATTGTGCGTACAGCTGACATAAAGTTTCCTTTACCATATCGTGCAAAATCATTTTCTCTTGTCATTGTCTCAGATGCACTGGATTACTTATCTCCAAAATATCTGAATAAAACTTTGCCAGAGTTGGCAAGAGTTGCTGCTGATGGTGTTGTCATCTTTTCTGGTACATCCTCATGAATTTCCATTATTCAAGATTATTTCAGACTAAGCATTTTTCTTATTGAAATCTTATAGGACCTAGTCTAGAATTGGGTTTATGTAAGCTATATTTATTTGACAATTGAGTGTTTCATCCACCTAAATGACATGACATGACATTTTATGTTTTTACCGGAGTGAATACCTAGAAGAAATTTAGTCATTAAATATTAGCTGTAATGCATTTTGCCATAGCATGGTGCAATATTTCAGTGCGTTGTGGTTCTTGTTCTATCCTGAATTAACTTTCTGTACTGGAACAATCCATTTTCAAGTAATTGGTTTGAATTTTAATTCATGATAATCATGGGTTGTCTATAAATTTCCTTACATTTCTTTTTTTAAAGAAAAAACTTCATTTGATCTCCATCCTTTTTGGATGCATGTTTAACAGTTCATGTTGGGTGTGATAGCAAATGATATTCAGAAGTACATCTGCTTTTCTTTGCCTGATTTATCATCTTTATGCATAGGTTATCCAGGTCAGCAAAGAGCTAAAGACGGAGAAGTGGCAAAATTTGGCCGTCCAGTAAGTGACTCTTCTTTATTGGATGCCAATTTATGTTTAACAGAGTACGCATTAACTGTGGTTGCATTCGGCTTTGATGTTAGTAGTTAAAAATTAGACAAAGTAGGCACTGAAAAAAGAGACTAGAGTCGATTGTGGATAGAGGGATTGCAAGGACAGTATAATTTATTTTAGCATACCAGAATCTGGATGGATTTATTGTGGATCAAACTCGTTTTGGAAGAATAGAATTTCCTTGGCATTTCCTTCTTGTTGACAGATGTTTTATTACCTTTGTTAATGATTTGGAAGCAAACAATTTGTTGTTAAAAAGTGACTTTATGTTGGTTAAGATTGTAAAATAACCTGTTACTACTAAATATTTAGCAAATATTCACAATGTTGAAGTAAGCCACATACTGTAGTTACCATTGACAATTGGAAGTCTCTAAAGGCAATGAGCAGCATTGTTGGATTCGATTTTCTCTGTCACTAAAATTTCCCTCATTGTGTATTTGCTGGTAAAATCTCATGCCCATAAATCTTTCCTTTTTGTTATTCATCATTTTTCTCCTTTTTAGACTTTATCTCCTGTCGGTCTTTTTTAACTTAGCAGATGCCTAAAGAATAAATTATGTAGATTTGATCATTGAAGAATAATGTGTTAATGGATTTTCCATCTGTGAAGGCCAAATTACGAAGCTCGTCTTGGTGGATAAGGTTTTTCGTTCAGAGTAGTTTAGAAGAGAATGAGGCTGCAGGAAAGAAGTTTGAGCAAGCTGCAGCTAAGAAATCATACAAGCCATCTTGCCAAGTATTTCATCTCAAAGCATACCCCTGAGAATTTTAGTGTTACATTTTTCACTCAATTAAGGGCCCGAAGGGTAAGTTCAATACATTATATGGAAGTTATAGATTTTACATTCCAAATTTGGATTATATTGAGACAATAGATGTATTTCATTGTGATGTGGGTTTCAAGTTCATTGGTTAATGGTTAATACCTTTGTATCATTATTGATTTGGATAGTGTTTAGAAGAAGTAATTATGAAACCCTATTGATTATATGTAGCTATATGTTTTGATGTTAATGTTTAAAAATGTCAAGCTTTATGCACAACCAGACACCGGACGAAAGAAATTTTGTGTCTTGAGGCTTTGCTCAATCTTTCACCAAGCCGACTCCAATGGAGGTTTTTTCATTAAAAATTGCTGGGCTTTTTTTTTTTTTTTTGTATTGTACAAAATTTGATATATGAATCACATTGTGTATTGCTTGTGAATGTTGTGATTTGTTATAGATTTTGCGTTTGATGTTGTGTTTACAAATATATCAACCTCGATGCACAACCTGACACACTGGAGGATTGCAATTTTGTCCCCCGAGCCTTTGCTGTCACCAAGCCAATTAATTCCAATGGAGGTTGTTTCAAAAAAACACTTTGTGGGCTCTCTGCTTTGCATCAAATCTGATGAATGAATCACACTGGTTATAACCTATGACTATTGCTATATGTTACTTCTTTCTGTTTTCGGTTCTTAAGATTTAATATAAGAGATAGATAACTAATAAAAATCACACTTTGTGGGTTCCCTATACATTGTATGAAATTTGGGAAATGAATTCACACTATTTATGGTGTGTGAATATGGTATGTGAATATCATGATTTGTTATAATTTCGTATATGAAATTGATATTGAGTTGTTGACTTCAAGTAAACACAGTAGACATGACATATAGAAGCAAATAAAACTTTCTACTTCAAATTGCTGTGATCTGTTCAAGATCTCTGCTTTTCTGTGATTCGAGGAGTTTTTCTTGCATGAAGTCTGGATGAAAAAGGTATTTAGCAATTACTACTTCTGGTTCTAAATATAGAATCTTGTTTGTAGTGCAATTTGCACTATAAACTAGAGTAAAGATTTGGTATTATGGAATGATAATTAAATGGGGGTTGTTTTACATGGTAATCTATTCATCATCATTGATTAGAATCTCAACTCTTATTGGGTCCCCTTCAGCTAAACACCCCATACAACATCAATGAAAGTAATTAATATTTATAAACCAATCACTTCCACCAAAGGCAATGTACATGTATATTCAATCACAGTATATATAATTATTAATTTGCTATTTATTGTAACCAAAATGTATTACAGTATTAACAGCGGAGGCATATTACCCCGAATATGTAGCTATACATATATTATTGGCTGAGTTTTAAAATTTATTTTTATATATTGATATGATATATATAAATAATATCTATGACTATATTGTCTTTCTATCTTTCCTTCTTTGTACTCTTTTTTTTTTTTGGCCCCCACAACTGCCTAGTACCTTCGTACAATTAAGTAGGCATAGCACAAAGTTATGATATTTCCCCGAACCATAAAATATTAAAATACAATAAGATTGAAGCTCAATCAATTTGAACAGTCCAGCCATTCTTGTCCTCCACATCACCTAATTGGATGCCTCTAATCATATCAAACAGCTTCATTGATGTTGTTCCATCTCCAGTTTTAAATTCAACCCTGCACGTAAGTAATTAACAATAACAATAAGCACTATATTTTTTGGCTAATGTTCTTTTTCTTAATATTAAGTATTTCAACTCTAATCTATATTAGGGTCGAAAATAGGGCATATCAGATCAGACAGTCGCTAAACAAGCATGACCTATACTCTCTTGGTATGTTGAAGTTATCAAATTTTTTTAGCTTTGTACGTCAAAATGCCACTAAATCCAATTTTTTCTCTCATACAACTAGCAGTAAACTACTTACTCTAATTTGTTTGGTCCAGGGGAAACACAGGGGGAGGGGAGGAAAAATTTTAATGAGTTTGATTTGAAAAATTAAAAAATTGGGATTAAAAAGTTTTAATTAATTTTTCTTACTCTTTTATCTTACATCCTAATTTTATTAAAATTTTACAATCCCACTTTTTAAATTTTTTTAAATCTAACATATTAAAATTTTTCCTTCCTTGCCATTCCCTCCTTTTTCCTCGTACCAAAGGAGGAACTCATTGCACATCATCCTTAGTTTCTCCAATGGCAAATTTAATCAGAAACTCAACATCATAGCACAGCAAGAACCGCAAGCAGGTACAAATCAAACCATGAGGCACAAGTCATCTCAATCCTATAATATATATATATATATATATATATATATAAAGCAAGAAATGAATGTTCATGTACCTTTTGTCTTGGTAGGTTATACTCTTAACAGGGGAGATGCTAACAGCAGTTCCAGTGCAGAAAACCTCATCAGCTTCAAAAATTTCTTCTACTGAAACTCTGTCTTCTTTAGCCTAATCAGATTTTCAATAAATTTTTCTAAGTCAAAAGTTCAGTTCACTGTCAAATTTCAACATTTTTTAATCCAATATTACCCTTTTAATTTCAATTCAATTTAAGCAGAGTCTCAATTAAAGGAATTCTTCTAATTATTTTTTTAGTCACAAGATTTAAGTTCCAAAATTTTAAAACATGGCAAGTTCTTTTTTCTTGACCCAGACATCGCCGGTAATTGTTTGTTTATTTTTATTGGCCCTTCCTAATTTCAATCGTTCATAATATATATAGTGTTCTATTTTTTTAAAAGATAAAAAATAGGGTCACCATTATTAAATAATTTCTCATTATTTCATATACAGAAATAACAATTACCTGGTAACCCAAGTCAAAAGCTATGGAAATGATGCTTTTTCTTGTAATTCCTGGTAAAATAGTTCCAGTTGCTGGTGGGGTTGAAATTACGTTACCCTTAAACATCGAATGAATGAAATAATTAATTATTTATTATTAGTATATAAACTAGTGACAATGGATTTTTTTCCACATAACACATAAAGCACAAATAATTAATTGATTCATTAATATTTACCTTTACAATGAAAACATTACACGATGATACCTCCTCGATGTACTTGTGTTCCTGTGAGTCTAGAAAGAGGACATCAGAAAATCCTTTAGCTTTTGCTTCTTTTGTCACCTGAAAAACCTGCATTGAGTTGGAAACATCCATTAATACCAAGTTATCATGGGCTAGGGTATAAATTTGTCCTGAAAGTTTTTACTTAAGAGTGCTGGACATTTGAAAATTTTTTTAGATGCAAATTTGCTCTAAAAGTTTAATATCATAGTAATATTATGCCTATCATTAAAAAACTAATATTGACCATTTAAATAGTGATATTGACCATTAATATTTTTAATGGTATAAAGTATTATTGTTACAATTTTAAACTTACCAGGCATCTTTACAAAAAAAAAATTAGATGCCCAATGTTTCTAAGTGAAAACTTTTAGAAAAAATTTACACTTTAATTCATTTATTATCAACACCAATATTTAATATAATATATTAAATCTGTTGAAAAATCATGCTGATCATAAAACATCAAGTTTTAGTTTCCACAGTTAAGTGCTCCTCTAAGAGTGAAAGACAGATAGCCAAACCTCAAAGAAACTAGTGTTACAAGCACAAGTCTAAATAAAGAACTCAGTCTTAAAAGATTAACTTGTTAGGTAATAAAACTCCCTAAACTTAGAAAGCCCAATTTTGTTATGAGATTTCCGGATGTGAACTCATAACAAAAAATTTGACTAGATGACAAGACATAAAGGAGTAGCAACGTCTAGTTGAGGTCGCAAGTACAAACATGTGGGATATGTGTGTTTTTACTTGTGCTTAACAAAAAATAACTTTATTTTTTTAATTTAAATTAGATTAATTTAATTCTAGATCTAATCTCAGCTACTTATAGTTCTGTGATGATATTATGTGGTTTTAAGAAATAATTATATGCTTACAGGTGAATAGTTGCTTATATTTTTGATTCCACCAGTTCCCCCAGGAATAGCACGAGAAAATTTATCTTCAATTAACAAATGCATATCACCAGCGAGTCCCTGTTCCATATACGAAAATACATTAACATAAAGGAAGTAATCCACACTAAAAAAATTTAAAAGAAAATTAATTTGTCAGTCTTTATAATTTTACCTAATTTTTAACCATTTCTCTGCAGTTTTTAATGCAGTTTACTCAATTATAAATATTAGTTCATATGCCAAATGAAAAGAAAAAAAATATAAGTAACAATGTTCTTATTAGAGCTTCATCATCTTAACAAATGAAACCAATGTTCATAATTAATTAAATCAAATTAAAGCTTATCGAATCATTATTGGAGATAATAAATCTCACCTTATATTTATTGCCAATTGGATTAGTGTATATTAAGAAGGTGGCTTCTGGTGCAGGTGAAATACCCATAACTGGTCCACTTCCAAATAACAGAGGCCTAATGTACAATGATCCTTTTCCATAAGGAGGTAGCTGAAATTAATGTAAGACATAAATCTACATATAAGAAACATATGTTGACATAATTATTTGATATATGATGCTACTGATCCGGTCAAATTCGAGTATTGTTGCGTTTAAGATGGCAGTACTACCAATGTGATTGTATATTCGTGTTCCTTTTAACATATAAACATTTAAAAAGAAAAATAAAAACAAAAGCTATTGTGTTACTGAAAAAAGGAAAAACAAGTAGAGATTAGAAAACGATAATTAGAATACCAAAAGTCCAAAACAAGATATGAATAGTTACATCAATAAATTTGAACAAAATGTAGCAGCATTCTAAAAGTAGAGACTAAATGAAAGATGAAGTGAAACTGTGTGTGTGTGTGTGTGTGTGACTTTTTTTGGAAAAAAAAATCATCAAACTTTTAAGAAGTTATGTATATGAGGAAAGTAAAAGAAAGTAGAGTTAATTAAGCATTAATATTATAGTATCTTATATTACCCAACGTTGATTTGCAAGAACGACTTGTTTGACCGCATGAATAAATTGTTCAACAGAAGGTGCAACCAACAACAATCTCTCAGCTCCCTTTTGCATTCGCAATGCATTTTCTTGGGGTCGAAATGTTTGAATCCCACCATCTTTTCTTCTGTGTGCTTTTAGCCCTTCAAATAATCCCTATTTAACATTTATATTATCATAAATCATATTTTCCTTTATCAGTCCAGAAAATAAATAAATAAAAGAAGTTAAGACCCTTGTAAAATAAAAGCCTGTGGAAAAGTTGCATTGGACATGGGTTATGAATTATCGGGTAACTGAATTTAAAGAATCACTCCCAGGTTTTGATTTGTGATTTCCCAATTGGTTGTGTTTAATTAGGTTGATCTGATCATATTTAGTTTGTTGAAATTAATTACTATAGATTATAACAAGAATAAAGCCTCATATGTAGAACAAATAAATATATGATTTCTTCATCTTTGAGATTTTTACTGAATTTGGATTAAGAAATGGGTAACTAATTAATATCTAAAGAAGTTATTTAGTAATTGTTCTATAATTAGTAAGTATTGCATGAGTAATGAAGATGGTATAAACTGGGGGGGGGCATGCAATAACGGAAAAATGATGCAAGAAAACACCAAAGCAATGCTTTTTTTTTTTAAAAAAAAAACCTCTTATTATAATTTCTAACTAATTTATTCGTCTGGATTAAACTAGAAATCAATATACTATTACAAAGTAATTAACAACTTACTTGTCCATAATTTAAGACAGAAGAATTGGGATTGATCTCAATAGTCCCAAAAGGGATCAATTTCCCTTCAGTGAACATACCATCTGAAGAGCTTTTCATTATATAAATTTGATCAGTTGAAATCACTTCATATTGAATTTTGTCCCAATCCATGTTCATGCATGTCTCTTCCCTATCCCTATTATTCATAAAAAAGAAGAAGTTCAAAATCAAAATCAATAAAAAGGGTAATATAAGACCTGCAATAAATTATATTATTCATATATAATGACAAGCAATATATATGCAACTTATTTTTCTACTTCATATATATTCTACACGGGCCTATATCTAATTACAGTTATATAGTTCATATGAATTACGAGTACAATTAAAAGCATAGCATGATTGATTGCATATACTTTCATTATATTTTACTACTTGCATACCAAATGAATCCTTATTCTGATTGAATTGAACTAGTATACAAAGAATCAAATTGTTAAAAAAGTTCTGGAGGAAAACAATGAAAATTCCAATATTAACAAACACTAGATGAGACCTCGATATTTTAGGTCATATTATTAGAATCAGATTGGACCAAATGGTCTGATCCGGTGCAATGGCTTAACCGGCAAAAAACCAAATCGGCCGGTACAAATTCTGTTAAACCAGCCTTATCTTAGTGCCAAAACGGTTCAGATCAGAGGCTTAATAATAATAATAAAAAAAACAGATCAACATGCACACGGATTGCAGAGCAAGAACATACAGATGCGAAGAAAAAGTTGAGAAGACGATACAGAAAGTACTGATTTGAAAGAGTAAGATAGCTTTTCAAAGGAAGCATTTCATATGAGAGTTTTTGTGCATACTCACATCACACCAAAGAGGAAAGTGAAGACTGGGAGGAACTATGAACGCTTCTAAAGCTTCACAGATTAGAAATTAGTAGATGTGGATGGTATATATCATAGGAAGCTTAGGAAACCTATTGTTAATTAACTTACACAATTTTCAATAAAAAGGGAAAAAAAAAACATTCACTTTGACTAAAGTTTCTGTGTTTCTCAAAAAGTCTATCATCAGATATTATTGCCTCCAATCCCTATAATTAATTGCCAAATAAAAAATATATTTATTTTTATAATTATTTTATTATAGTTTTCATGGCGAAAAAGATTTTTAAATTTTACATTTCTTCAATTTTTTTATTTAAAATAATTAATATAAAGTTATAAATATATTAATGTAATTAAAACTGGCCTAATCCATCCCGGCTTTGAAAACATTAATTCGTTTCATGAGAACAAAAGGGAGAAAGTTTGTAAGAGTCATTGGGTGGATTTTACCTCATTATAGTCAAGTCCCGAGGCCCCAACAAATCTTGGTTAAAAGAATGCACAAAATCAGTTCTTGGTATAGCTGGGAAAAAGGGAGAATCCGCGGCTATGGAAGCTCAGGGAAAGAAAGAAAAGTAAAGGCAGGAGAAGGAAAAGAATGACAAAAATTATGGGAAATGAGTTTCTTGATTCTCATTAATGAAATAGCTGAGTATTTATACAAGAGAAAGACATAGTATTTACACAACAAACTTATGCTAATACATAACAAATTCTGTTATAATTAACTTTATTAACAGACGTATTATTCTATGGTTAACAAGGAAGGAAAAAAATTTTAAGATATTTCCGCAATTGAAGCTAGCTATTTATAAAAGAAGACCAAAATGTATTAACAACAAATTATTAGTTGAGGTAATAAGTGGCTTTACCTCATAAGGAAGAAAATATAAGTTTGAATTCTGGAAAGAGCGTTTTAAACTTTTAACTTTTATATTGGGAAAGTTTTAAACTTTTAACTAGCTTAAATACTCTCGGCCTCAGGTCCACAGTGACTTGGGGATACCTGAATTAAAAAACAAACAAGGTGTTCTAGGAGGTTTAAGAACCATGTGATGAGTTTTATCATAGATTTTTATATTCGATTTTATGTTTACAAAACAATCTGACAGATAGGAGGATTGCAATTTCGTCTATTAAGGCTTGGCTTTGCCTTAAAATTCTGTCACCAAGCCAATTCCAACGAGTTCCATCAGTTATAGCTTGTGAATATTGTGATTTACTATAGATTTTATATTGCACGAATTGGAGGGGGAAAAAGGTGTTTAGCAACTATTCTCTAGGTTCTATTTATAAGACTTCTTTTCCTGGATTTTAGTACAAAACTTATTACAAAATTTAATGACATATTTATCATTTACTCTAAAAAGTGTTCTGAATTTCTTTCATTGTAAAAAGGCAATTAAAAAACTTTAAAAACTTTAAGAATTATTTTTTAATTATTTTTTAATACTTATAGGTTATAAATTAGTTAACATATTTTTATGATGAAAACGAGAGGAAGTACTTTGGTCGTAAATCAATCCTCATAAAAATTTTCAATCTTAAGCTTCACTGTATAATTTGTGCAATCCATATGCTTTAACACACTGTAGTATGCTATAATTTGTTATTAATTGTAACTAAAACCTGTGTTACAATAATTATTAACAACATAGATATATTGGATTTTCTTCTTCTTCTTTTTAATTGGAGAGGCAAACACTAACAATCTAAGACTACAAGGTCACAGTCATTTCTTATACTCAGTTTACAACCAAAAACTTCTCAACTTTTACACATGATAATTCTTTTTAGCCTGGGTTCTTACATATGATATGATATACACATCATAAAAAATATATATATATTTTTTTGCCATCATCAGAAAACATGCATATATTATCATATCATAAATTTAAATTCAATCCTGCGTGTAATTACATTATAAATTATCATTCTTTTAACTAAACTTTATTACTATCATTTCAATTCAATTATATTAGCGCCTGTTTGGGTTTCCACACATTCTCTTTTGTAGGAACCACTATTTATTAGGACGTAGTTCCAAATAAATAAAGCCTCAATCTTGCTTTTTCAATTTCATCATAGTGGATGTGTAGACTAGTTGAAAAAAAAATGAAAATCAAAAGTAGATTACAAAACAAAATAAAAAGATCATTTATAAAGTCATTTTATTAATATGGCTTTAAAAAACTTGCATGGTTGCTTGTTAGAATTTTATTTTATATATATCTGTTAAATAAGAAATGAACGTTATCCACCTTTTGTGTTGGTATGTATAGGTTATACTCTTGACGGGAGATTCCAACGGCAGTTCCAGTGCGAAAAACCTCATCAACTTCAACTACTTTTTCTACTGAAACTCTGAGTTATTTAGATTTTCAATACATTTTTCTCAGTCAAAAGTTCAGTTTATTGTCAAATTTCAACATTTCTCTGTTTTTTTTTTGGCAACCGGATATGATATGATATGATATCCAACACTGCCCTATTAATCTAGATTCAAGTTGAGTAGAGTTTTGATTGAAGGCACAAATCTCTCAAAGCATATATAATTTCTTTATGGCACTCGCAAGACTCAAATTTAAATGTTTGAAAGATGTGAGTTCCTTTTTGGCACTCACAAGCCACAACTCTCCCCTTTGAGCGAGTGAAGTGCCATGTAGGCTGATTTTGTAGTGAAAGAGCCACTCTTATCCCACTTCCATCAAATATATTAATATTCCCTTCTCTATCCCTGACTTCTTGGATTCCTACACTTTACATGGTTCCAATTGTGTCTTCAATTTTTCTCCATGCATTTGACCTTGCCTTTCTAGGGTTAATAGTTGGGAGAAGATCATCACCACATCCATATTTTCCTCTTGATTATCTTCAACCTCACTATTACAAACAATGCTATTTTCGTCTATTGTGGAGGCATTTTTGGTCTGTTTAGGCAGAGACACGTTGATAAATGAGATATAGATAGTATTTATGTATTCATCTGTTTTATATTCTAAACAGACAAAAAAGGTCATCATATTCATATATTCTGCAGAACAGATGAAAATAATTTTTTTTTAAAGAAACTTGGGTGGAATTATTTGCATGGCAACTTTCTTAGAACCTGCAATTTAAGCAGAACCAAAATAGATTGCAGCAACAATAAAAGCAATTCAGTTGAACCAAGTCATGTCACACTTTACATACACAAACGATCTACAATCCACAACTTTAAGGGTCAAAACAAATGACAACAATAACATTCTAATTAATTGCTGATTAAATTTAAAGAAAAGAAGCTTTTCGTCTATTACTTGTAATACTTATTTGTTACAGCATGAAAGACGAGTATAAGCTCTCATAATAGACAACTCATACTCATCTGTTACAAGGTAATAGAGGAGTATCAAGGCCCTTTTCCTCTGGTTTTCAAAACAGATAAAATTTGGGAAAAAAATAGACCCTTTTGTAGTAGTGCTAGCTAGAGAGAGTTGCACTCTTTTACCAGACTCCATCCAAGCTTCGTCATAAGCTAAGTCCCCCTCTCTGCTTTGTTAGGCAAACTTTGTCTCAAGAGAGGAGGTGCATCCTGCAATGGTTTTCTGATGAGCCCTAGAGAAAGTCTTGAGCTTTCTTTTCAATAGAGTCACAAGTATTATCTGATTCCATAGTATAAACAGGCATAGCATTAGCCGAAGAGAGATTATTTATTTTTGTTGCTAAGACGACTTTTGACTTTATCAATAACGAGCTAACAGGTCTTTGTAGTGAATTGCTTTTGGTGCGAAGACACTCCTAGATATTTTCCAAGCTTACTCGTTTAGGCAGAATCAAGTTTCTCACTTGTTTGCACTGCTTTGTTATGATTAACATTCCTAGAGAAAAGAATATCTTAGTCTTGTTCTAGCTGACTTTTTAGTCTTGTTCTAGCTGACTTTTTGTCTTGATATAGTGCAGAACTGATACAAGCATTGTCTAATTACGACCACCCGTTACAAACTAGCTTCTGTTAGGCTTTGCAATTGTTAACTCCAAGAAATTCATGATTTTAGCCCATTTTCCTTGGTCATTTCATAAAGAATGGTAAAACAAGTTAAGGAAATTGATGAATTAATCAACCTACTTTCCTAATATAGTTTGAGAAAATATTAAAAAGTGTATTTCGTTTCTATATTAGCATAATATTCAATTGGAAGAAAAAAAGACATATTAATTGTATTTTAATGAAATACCTCAAAGATTTTTCCCGTACAAATATGTCGGGGATATACTCCATCTTGTCCT